AAAAATTTGTTTTCTTCATGTTCGCAAATGAGAGGTAGCCGAATCAATTCTATTGAATTTTATAATTAAAAAAATCGATTCGGTATGAGAATTGGCTAAAAATGCATACTTCTCTTTAATGATCAAAATTATTGGATTTTGGTCTCGTGGAGGACAGGTTTTCAAAAAGAAATTTTGGCGATTCTATAATGAGCCCTCTGTTACATGTTGTCTATTTATATACACATCTTACTAACTAATTGATGTAAACATTTCCAGAGGTTTTTTACGATGAATTTATATAACTAGTAAATTATGCCAGAGCCGCTTCTTATTGTTTGGTTAACGAATCAGATAAGCAGTGACAAGGAAAATTTGCTTCATTTGTGCACTCTTATCGGTAACGATAATCTTCAAACATATGACAATTCGGACGAATGTATTAATTTTATAACCGATATTGAAGAGATTTCCATGAAAATCTATCTGATTATTTCGTTATCATCACTAAGCGAAGCTAGTGAAATATTCATAAACACAATTGAATTATTACCAATAATCAATTCAATTTACATTCTGTGCTCAACTACCCAATTAGCTTCAATTTCTTTTGCAACTGCTACTAAAATGCATGGAATTTATACCAATTATCAGTCTTTAATTAGTCAACTACTGCGTACAATAAGCGTTCAGAGATTTTATTACAGGCGTTTTGCCAGTGATGATTTTACTCTAGCTACAGTAAAGCCTTTATCAACTGTTTCAGTTACTACATTTGAATTTTCTTCATTAACCACTGACACAACTACCAATGTGAAGAAGCACGAAGCTGAATCTATGTATTCACAGTTGGCAAGAGAAATTTTAATTTCTACGGAATCAAATAAGACAGAAATGCTTGAATTTTGTCGTCAGCAGTACGCTGACAATAATGTACAGTTACGTTATATTCAAGAATTTGAAGATCATTACGATTCGCATAAGACTATCTGGTGGTATACGCGTGATACATTTCTCTATCGTCTTCTGAATAAAGCATTGAGAGAACAAGATATTGATGTCTTGTATTCACTGAGATATTTCATTAGACATCTTCATTTACAATTGAAAGATTTTCATTCTAAGCAAACATCAACCAATACAACTATAGAAAACGAGAAACTGATCACTGTTTATCGTGGACAATTAATTAAAAACGAAGAATTTGAACGTAAAATACGACATAATCTTGGTGGTTTTCTCTCTGTAACTAATTTTCTGTCGACGACAATAGATAAACAGCTAGCTACTGTGTTTGCTGGTTATGGCGGTGAAGATGACACACAAAGTATTCTGTTTCAAATAGATATTAATCGATCGGTAAAGAAATTTCCCTATGCTAATATCTCTGAAGAAAGTGTATTCGGTGAAGAAGAAGGAGAAATTCTATTTACAATGGGTTCTGTCTTTCGTATACTTTCAATTCAACCAATTGACACTAATATGTGGTATATACATTTGAAACTAACAGGTGAAGAAGACATAGAATTAATGAATTTAATTGAGTATATGAAAGGTGGTCTTGATGAATTTACGCCTGAAATTCATTTAGCAAGATTACTATTCGAAATGGCTCAGTATAGTAAAGCAATAAAATTTTTAAACATGGCTATGCAAGACTCACAGCTTATGGAAGATTTTATTGTACGTATTTATATTTACAATGAACTCGGAGACATATACAGCGCAATCGGGAACATAGATAAATCTGAAGAATACTATAGAAAAGTGCTCGAGACAGATCTGACACACTTGCCGGAACATCATCCAGTTGTAATGGTAGCATATAGTATTCGAGCTCAACTACATGAAAGAGACGACGATTTGGAACAGGCATTATTCTACTGTAATAAAATATTGGAAATAAGTTTGGAATATCCCGAACAAACTAAATCTTGGGATGCTTACAATGACTATAGAAAGATCGCCGTCATCTATAAAAAACAGAAACATTACTCAGAAGCAATGGAAATGTACCGAAAAACTTTGAAGATTTAATTAAAAACTTTGCCATACAATCATCCATCATTTTCTATAACTTATCGATCCATCGCAGAACTATTTTCTATACAAGAAACCTATGAAGAAGCAAACCAATTTTTACAAAAAGCATTAGAAATTCAAAATAATTCACTGCCACCGAATCATCCTGATTTTATCGAAACATACAGTGCTTTATCTGTATCATACTATAAACTAGATAAATTTGAAGAAACTTTAAAATATGTGAAGAAAGCAAATGAATTACGAATGCAACACTTACCACAAATGAAATACTCGAATGCAGATCATTCGAAAAAAGAATTTCAGAAGCTAATTCAAGAAACAAATGAATTGTTAGAAATTCTTCAACAGAGAAGAGAATATTCCTCCAGACAATAGCGAGCGACTTAAATCAACATGAATTTTATTTGCAATAAATATCTACAATAGCCTTTCTGCTTGTCAATCATTATTTAACTTGTAAACTCTCTAATAAGTCTTTATTCTTTTTAACACATGTTAAAATTAAATGACAAGTTCACCTTTCTATGATTCAATAGAGAGTTTATCGAGTTAACAAGAACTTTCTATAGTTGTCGATAAGTTTATATTTATATTTAAATCAGACGTCCTATTGTCAGTACAGGCTATAACATTTATATTTCATAGACTTCTTAACATTTTTCTTTTTTTATAGGTATGAGAAAATTATATTTTGTAAACAAAATAACATTACTTCTTAGGTTTTTTCTAATAGATATCTATCGATTAGAAAAGATCAGATAAGATCAAAATTATGTCTGGTGCTGCTCCTGCCGCTACAAATGATATTTCCACAAAATATCATACGGTAACAATTTATGCAAACCTTTCAATAGTTGACAAGCAGTGTCCTTGCAATAAGCCCGTAGATCTTCCACCTATACTCTATTAGAGGAATCAAATGAAATTGGTAGATTTTCCAGAACTTTATAAGCCCAAACATATCATGGTTAATGACCCATGTGAGTAGAAGGTAATTATCGCCAAGAAGGAACATATTTCTTTGTGCTTAGACACATCATTAAGTGAGAATTATGCTATTTTTTTCTGCTTTCTTTTATGGTTACAATTCCCGTGGAGACATTGTTCTGTCCCCTGTTGATATTTGGCTCATGATTTGCATCTATTTTTTTTTGAATATGTTAGTAAAGACGCTGAACATCGCCGTTCATTGTTTGTTGAACATGAAGATGAGATTAAATTGAGTGCCGTACAAGTAGATCAGATCGATCAGAAAACGAAAAAGCTACAAAATTTTTGCTATGTCTATCAAAGATTCATATAGTTTTAAGAGCTATATCGATGGCCTATTGCCAATCCTAGATCAATTCATTTAGATTTACCAAGGAAATGTTGATAATAAATTTTGGAACACAATCATGGATATCGAGCATGTAGAGGCGGAAACAAAAATGTAAGTTTCAACTTCCTTGAAGAGTTATATTTGTCATTTGAAGTAGAAAAAATTTTGTACAAACATTTTTGTTTATCAAAATTTTCAGTCAAATAAAAAGCAATATATCAACATCGTTTTTCTTATTTCAAATGATCTGTAAAGTACATAAATGGTTGATTTCTTCGACTATATTATAGTCTACATCAAAATAGAAAATGTCATATTGATATGACATACAACTCAATTCAATTGGTACATTCGTCGAAGTGCATAACAGAATTACTAATAAATCGAAAAAATACCATGTAACTGGGAGCTTTCATGAAGTACAATCCTATGATGAATGTCATAAACCTGTAATAAGACTTGTCATTATCGATAAGTAACAAGTTTTCAAATAATAAAAGATGAACGATGATATATCATTTATATTTGTCTATTTTAAGAAGATCGAATATGTTGGATAGATCTGTATTTGTAATTTTCTTATTTTATTTAAAAATAATTACTAACTATATACAAATAATAAGACATATTCTAAACAAATCAATTTCTACCACCATAAATACAAATCACGATTAACATATTTAATAAAATATTGATCAAGTAAATGTTCTAATCCAATTAAAACATCAATTTTGTGTTAAACATATTTTAGGTATTTCTGTAATACATAACAAGAATAAATAACATATTTTATTATTACTTTTTGATAATATATATCGTGTAATATGTTTAATTTCTTTTCGATTTATTCCAATTTTAAGATATTCTAATTTTGGAAATAAATTAACAATTATTTCAATTAAGTCTAATGTACATAATGATTTAATATCTAAATTTTTTATTTTATTTGTTTTTGATACATATTCAAAAGTATCATTTGGTAGATTATTTTCATTGTAATTTATAAAATTCCATTTTAATATATGAATATTTGGTAAAAAATGTAATAGATTAATAAGTTGTTGAAAAGAAAAATAATAACAATCAATTGTTAATTTAGTCATTTGTTTTAAAGGAATAATACGATTAAGAATTATTGAATTTGAATCATCAGGTATATTAAAATAATATTTAATTGTCAATTGAGTAGCATTTGGAAAATATTTTATACAATTATTTGCTGTTTTTTTATTAAAAATATAAACATGTTTAACAGAATTTAAATTCATTTCTTGTATATGTGAACAAAATTGATTAACTATTTCCCAATAAAATGTATAATCTTTTCTTCTAAAAATAAATAAAAAAAAAACAAACTATAACACAAAAACTATTCAATCGATTTTTACCGATATGGATTAGTTGAATGAAAAATTCCACAATCTAATCAACCTTCATAATCATGTTGATGTATACAAAAACCATTGTTTTTCAATTCAAAATGATGATATAAATTATTTAATTGAATTATGATATATTAATGGATTATTTCGTGCAGAACTATCATGATTTATATCAAATACACGTAAATTTGGCATAGATGATGATATTAATTGTTCCTATTGTTTTGCATTTAAGTATGATTCATCAGCTTTTGTCGTAAGACGTAAAACTTCAATATAATGAAAGAAATCTTTTATAATTTTTTCTACTTGATTAAAACTAATATAATCAAGTTTGAGTGAAACATATTTTAAATGTTCTAAAAAATTTGTATGCGAATTTATATTTGTAAAAGTACATTTAACAAGACAATCAATTGATAAACGACGAAGTTGCAGAAGATAAAATAATAAATTATTAAATGAATCAAATCGAATACGACTATTAATTACAAAATGTTCTATAAGACTATATTGATATTTATGAAAAATAATAGGTAATAGTCGTTGTTCATCTTTTGTTTGATATGTTAAATTGCACTATTTTAATTTCGGTAAACGAAATATACGATAAAAAAGTGTACTTGGACTTTGTACATATTCAATCAGATTGAGAACTAATGAATGAAATTTGGGTAAGAGAATTAAATGATGGAGAATTTTATAAAGATATTGAGCTTTAATATTATCAAGAATTAATGTTTCAAGACAAATAAATTTTGAAATAATACATAGTGGTGAGAAGACAATATCAACTGTAAATGGATTTAATAAACGAAGTGAATTAATTTGATGTTGATTTGGAAGAATTATATTTATATGATAATGGTGAAATTTTGATTTTGGCATTGTTGAAATATTTATTTTAATTAGAAGTGTTGAATGAAAAAGTAAATTTTGAAATCGTTTGTTAAGATTAATGAATCCTTTATAAACATAATAAATATCAAGATATTCAAATATTTCATAAAGAATTTCATTTGCTAAATCTTCGAATAGAGATCTAAATCAAATAAAAGATAAGAATTATATAATAAAATAGATTTTTCAAATAACTACTGAACTTATTTCGATTGATTGTTATTACTAAAACAAAATATAAGATTTATTAAATGTAAACATAAAAACTTACTTTTATCAAATAATGTTCTTTTCTTATTAATACTATCATCATTAAATATATTATTTCGTTGTCGTTTTGTTCGTATCATGTTTAAAATGATAAATAAGAAGGTTAATATTGATTGAGAAAATTGTTTTCGAACTATATAACAACGAAAAGAAGAGTACATGTACACATGGAATAACAAATATATTGTCTCTCTCTCTCTCACTCTTATCTATCCGCAATGAACAGAATAGATAACGATATTTTGTATTTAAAAGACAAATGAATGTTAATTAATATAATAAGACTTTTTCATGAGATATTTTACTCTTAATAATTACTACATGATGAAAGGAATAATGCATATTTCATAACACAATTTAAAATCTGATGAATGATTTTTAAGAAATTAATTTGATCAGAATATTTTCAACATGAAGGAATTATAAAACATTCTGTAGTTTGAATTTTATTTGAAGAGTATTAAATATATTATACTTTTATTTTCTGAATCATTTTTAGTCAGTTTTCTAAAAAGATTTTTTTTTCTCGAAAATGAAAAATACAACACAGTGATTATTTCCATAGAAATTGCTAACATTATGGACTGAGTATTTCGAGTAGAATGTTCATAACTTCTGAACAATTAAAGTTGAAAAACCTGGATTATGTGCAGTTTTGTAAATCTTCGATCGGTGATTCTAATGGACTCGTGAACATTGAAAATTCATTGTAATGAATGGACTCATGGTACATTGCTTATCAAAAACTTCGATTAACAATCATTAGGTAATTTGCCGGAAAAACCTGTAATAGACGATTCGAGACGTCTTCAACTATTATTTCCAATGATGAAACAATGCATATAGAAGTATTTGATGTACACGTATATGTAATATTATTACATGGCTCCAAAATCGAACATGAAAAAGCGGATGCACAAGTGCTAATATTGTTGACTGTACGATGGTCGAAGTAAGGCGTAAATAATAAAAGACAGCTATTATTATTACTTATGCTTACACAACATTGTTGTAAAGAACAGTTTGTATAATATCTCATAGTTTTTCATTTTTATACGAATTTCAAGCAAAAGCTTCAATTGTAGATTGAAAATTTTCCTAGAAATAACCCTATATTTCGGGTATTATACCGGCGAAATCTATCTACAATGAATACCAATAACATCAAAATCCATTTCAAGAATCATTGGAATGTTATTCATTCTACTCCTGTCGACCAATACTTTCAATTCGGCCATTCTATTTCGATGTTTACTATCATTGGGTACATATTCTTTGCTATCCTATTGTATAAAACCATAGTACTATACGCACATTATCGATACAGTGGCCTATCCACTTGCTTCATAGTTCAGTGCTCGTTAGACAACTGTACCAACATCTATGAGTATAATACGTCCATTGTCTGGCTTTATTCTTTCGACTTTCATAATGATCATTACTTCATCGTTGTGTATTCATGAATTAAGACTGACGATCCTATCAAAATAAAGTAACAAAATGACAAAGACATGCTTCAATTTGACAAGATTGTGCAACTGGGCTTAATCTTCAGCATTATTTCTATTGTGAGAACGGGTGTTGTTCGAAGAAAACAGTCATACTCTCTTTCAGTTCTCTCACGATAGGTTTTTTTCTATCCTATGTTCGAATATATCATTATGGCATACATATGATTATTATCAAACGTGTTTTACTTTTCAAAACAGAAGACATGGCAAAATATCATTATTGCAATCGAATTATACAAATCGGAAGGGAATACTTTCATGTCACAAATACCTTCGACAAAAACAAAACAAAACAAAATTGCTTTGACGAGTTTTGAAAGCCTATTCTGCAATACAGAAGTACGCTTTCCCACTTAGGCACTACACTGATTCATAAAGATTATGCTATCACTGCTACTCATTTTTAGTACAACGAATCCTCCAGATATTAATTTAATTGATGGTATGCATAATTGACCACAACTATGCAAGCCTCAGCTTATTAAACATAAACTAAGTGTATTACTGGACTAAAAAACGATAAATATGAAAATCAATTCTGTTTGTCACCTTTATTTTTAATTATTAGCTGACAAACATAAAGAAAAGAAAAAAGACAAATATAACAACAACAACAAAAAAAAAATAGAGAACAACAAATCAGGTCATTTCGAACACAGACAGAAATTTGAACAAAAAAAAAAAAAAAAAGAAATATTTGAATAAAATAATTATATAAGAAAAGAATTCTATTAATTGTTCATTTAACTTTTTTTTTTCTTCTTTAAATGACTTATTAAAGATAAATGAAAGAAAAAAAGAAAATAATAACTAAGACACAGGTTAATATACATTTGAGAAATTATCTCATAAAAAGAAAAAGAGAAAAGAATTAGAATTTGCGTAAGTTTGCATACACCGAACAATCTCAATCCAATTTTACCAATGATCTTCACAACATCACATACAAGAGATGTGAGGGGAAAAAAAAGCGTAAAAAGAATAAAATACAAGACAACACACAGTCATTCATCTACATGTAAGACAACGACTAGAAAATTAAATTCAAAATGAAACATAAATTCACATACATATAAACATATATACTCATTGATTTAATTAAAATCCATTTGTACCTATAACACTACCAACTGTTTGTCCTTGTAATGATGGATGAAAGACTGGTTGTGATGATTTTGAATGACGTGTTACTGCCTTATGTGATGACATATTACCAATATGAATTTTTTGCCAACATCGTTGACAAAAATAATCGAAACAAGCAAAATTTCGACAAAATAAATCACCAGCAGCTATTTTACATACTGAACAAAATCGATATTGTAAATGTGGTTCAATTTGTAGACGTTTAAGAAAACGTGGTGTTCGAACATCGACTAAATAATAAACAAATAAACTAAATTACAATATTCTACCTAAAATTTTCTTTACAGTTTCGTAGTAACTTCAGACAGCACGAGAATATTCTGAAACACTATTCACCTTTCTCTGGCAACAAAGTAAAATAAGCAGACGAGGTAAATAGAAGTGAGGAAGAGCGGTCTGGTAGCAGGTCGTCTATTGTAGAAGACATCGACAACCCTACTTACTATAAATAGACTTCCCCCTCAAAAAAGTCACATTTCACCAGAATCATCAAAATTGAAATATCTATTCGAAAAACAAGCCATTTTATAAAATTTGTTTTTTCTCAGAACGTGGATTCAACGACGTAGCGCCAGCAGAAGTCTATCATAGTAAAGGATAAAGTCAAATATTTTCTTTTGTTTGAAAGCTTGTGTTTACAGCTAGCCTTCCCCTCGTAACCCTTTTTTTTTTAAATAAGTCTTCTTATTATCATATAAGAAAATAGCGCAATTTTTTGAGTCACTAAACTTATCATCCCTTTTCTTCACTTCCCAACATTTCCCTGAAAGTTTCATGTAATTTGGATGCTGCTGAACTGAGATTGATTTTTGAAGAGGGCCTTAAGTTACAGTATTGTGCGATGTTTATCTTCAACTATCGAGGGCACACAGCCAACTGTCGAACGTTGTACCTACGAATAGGTGTCGATAAGACTAAGACAAGCTTCAAAGGATTCAGATCAATGCCCTATTGATAAAGAGTTATAGTCGTTTAAATGAAAATGAAAATGTCTTTCTCAAGATATTCGTCTGCCTTATCGAATGCCTTTTACGGTTGTCTTAGTCTCATCAACACCTA